GGAATGAATGATTCTGAAACCATCCAGTTATCTGAGAACTTTTGTTTGGAAATTAAAGCCTGTTTCCAAGTCATACATCTCCCGTGGTTTTCAAAGAGAGACAAATTCCAGTTGATTGATTTTTTCCCCAGGGTTTTATTTAAACGTTAAAAAATGTATATTTACAAGTGTTTAGTCTCATATTTTTGAACAGGAAAATGACTTAGTTGCTTTGCTATATAACTAATCTCATTAATATAGAAACATTGGTTATTAAAGTAGGGATTTTTGTTTCTCAAAATATTCGCAGTCTGTTTCCCAAATTCTAATGTTATTCCTAGTTATTGACATGGATATGTGGCCGCATGCCGGTTTTGTATTTCCTCCTTTGTGCGAGAAAAGGCCTTGTTTTGTCTGTGTGATGGCATGATATTAAATATATGCTCAACATGTTTTATTCTTAGGTACATGGCTTGTACTGCATTTGTTATTTAGTTTGGATTCTATGCTGCTTCTTTTAAAAAGTTTTATGCAAATTATTTTAATTCACTTGACTGCAAAGGGATAGAAGTCTAAATAAAAGGTCTAAGCTACTTAGAACTAATTTGAGATGTACTTCCACTTGTTCTGGGTAATTCATTTATATTTTCATGCATTTAATAATGATACTAATCCATAAAATAACTTTAAAATCTGTCATGCGTCATTAAATTCATTTGTGTTTCATTTAACTAGCCTTTATACTGAGGGACTTGGTTGTTTTTGTGGACTGTAATTTATATTTTTTAACGTTGCCTCAAGGTTATCTTTAATGTAGATACTTTGAATAAGATATGTTAAACTTTTGTTGCAGGGTATTATAACAGTGGTAATTATATATATAATTGAGAAGCAGGATCCCTGTCCATTGATGTATTAAGACATTAGTAACTGTTTTAAGAACTGTATGAAACTCTTCATTATAGGAGTCCAAGTCATTAAAGTGGTGGCATTACAAGATAGTTTAATAGTAATGTAAACACATTATCTTTATCCAAAATGTTTTATTGTTGAGAAACCATAAAGACATAAAATTGTTGGAATTATAGCTCCATTGTATCATCAGATTGAACTTGACTTGTTTACACCATGGTACAAATTGCTGATGTCTCAGAAAGTAGAAAAAGGAACCCTGACACATAGACTGGAAATTTTTGTGGAAATTCTCTCAATGAATATAGCTTCCATTTCTTTAATTTTTATCTTAACTTTTCTCAAATTCATCTGGTCTTTTTCACAGTGCTTTTGGTTCTTAGAGTCCCATCAAGAGGACAAGTATTTTCCCTCTTTCCTCTTTTTAAATGATCACAGGCTCCATCATCTCCATCCCATCCCCCACCCCTTGCTTCAGCCCTTTCCATTCTTTAATTCAGTTAGGCATGCTCCTGGGTCTTTATACAAAGCACCTCTTTCTGCATGATAATGCTTTTGTCCCAGATAGTTGAATGCTTTTCTTGTGATTTAGTTGCCTGTCCGGATGTCACCCCCTCAGAGAGGACTTCTCTGACCATCACACCCTCTCTGGCTCTGGCTCCTTATTTGGCTTCCCATTCACTTCATTGCACAATACCGCCACCCGATGGCATCTGATGTGGTGTCTGTCTCTGTCCAACCTGAGAATGTAATTCCCACAGCTCAGGACTTTGTCTACTGCCGTATCTCCAACGTCCAGAGCCCTAGCTGGCACATAGCAGGTACTCAGCAAATATGGACTGAATGGCTTTTCCATCATGAAGATTTAACAAAGAAGGTCTCCACATGCGATTATCCCTTACTATCGCTGTGACTGTTAGAACCGTAGTTACCTCAGTGCTCCTCAGATTGCTCTGTTGCCTGGAATTCCTCGGGTGCGGACTCACTCGTCTGTTGTATCTTCTGAGTCTCTGTCTCTCTCTGTGTCTCTCTCTCTCAAGGCAGGTGTTGGGTTGTGGAGCTTTAGACTTTCCGACATGATTAAATATTTTGACTTGCCTACAAGTTTTTTCCTTATCTTACTGGCCTGGGATTGCCACACAATCTGGTGGGAGTTTGAGTTCAGGTTCCATACCAGCACACAACACAGGATCAGAGGCCTGATTTTCCACAGGTGTTTCCACCCTCAGTCCAGGCAAGACTCCGTGTCCAGGCACAGTCTCTCGGTCCGTGGGCTGAGATTTCCAGACACCCCCTTTGTGGCTTCTCACCTTATCAAAGAGCCCAGGACTTCTGCATCAAGAACACATGGACTGGCCTCTCTCAGTCCAGAAACCTCAGCCCCAGGAGCACTTGGACTTCTTGGCATCGATTCCCACTCTTCTGACTTGGAACCTTCACTTCCAGCACCTGGAAATTTTTCTTTCTTGGTTTCTCAGCAGTGCTATGTAGGCAAGACAAATTTCTGTTATATATTATCTAGTGTTTTCTTATCTTTGGGTGAGGAGAGTTTCCCATGTCTGTTCAGTCAGCCATATTGACTGGTGGGGCATGTGGAAATAATTTATTTTGGCATTTTTAAATTTTTTATTTTAGCACTTTTAAAGCAATATTCCTGAAAGAGTTGATGCTCATATATATCCAAAAGCACTTACATCAGGGCTCTCTATGGATGAGCAGTAATAGAAATTTAGATTCTTTATATTCTAGGTTTCTGGACATTCTAGTGTTTTAAAGGAAACTTTCAGCATTATTTATGAATAAATTCTGTCAAACAGTGACCTCATCATCCATTCCATTATTTTTTTAAGTTTCTTCTCAGCGTTGCAGGTTTTATTTTCTTTCTAGCCTTTTAGGAGAATTTTGTCAAATGGAAAGTAATTATCAGTGTGACTTTTAAGTGTCTGGAAGGTATTGTATGTACCAAGATTTACTTCAGTTCCCTTCATAAGCCTGTGTTGAGAGCACCAAGTGTGCTCCCAGGACACGTCTACTAGGTGCTGTGGCCTGTCCTTACTATAATCAATAATAATTATTACCTTGTTTTCTAAGACATATTTTTATTTTATATTTTTAAAGTTTTTATTTATTTGACAGAGAGCACAGTAGGCAGAGCAGCAGGCAGAGGGAGAGGGAGAAGCAGGCTCCCCGCTGAGCAGGGAGCCCTATGTAGGACTTGATCCCAGAACCCTGGGATCATGACCTGAGCCAAAGGCAGACGCTTAACTGACTGAGTCACCCAGGAGCCCCTAAGACATATTTTTGTAATCTTACTCTCAAGTTGAAATGCACAGACTTTAAGTATTTAGTTTGCTGTGTTTGGGACAATCCAGATACAAAAAATTTCCCTCACTTCAGGAACTTCCCTTATCCTATTTCATGCCTTTTATTTGTAAACTTTGCTTTCTTCCCTACCAGATATTAAGATATCTCCAATGAAATCTGAGGAGTTTTCTAGGAAGCTCTCCACTTTGAATTTGTGTGATTTCCTGGATTCTACAGACAGAAACTACTTTGTGAAATTATGGGCCAAACTTGCAGCCAAAAAAACCCCAGTGGTAAGGACTGGGGCGGGGGGGCAGGGAGGGATAGAACCTCATCTGAGCATCACATGGCTCAGACCAAAAGGGGATTTGGGTATTTTGAGACTAAGTTTTGCCAAAACTCTTCTCTGGTATGAGCTGAAGACAAATTTTTAGCCTCTTTCTACACCTGTAGGAATAGACATGGGCTCTACAAAGAATATTCAGTGTAGCTTTTGTGAGTACCTTTCTCTAGCCCTTAGTTGAATACTCGGACACTCAGCTCTTCTCTTTAGCAAGAATAGAAAAGGACTTTGACAGAACTAACATGGTAAAATATGTATTTCCAGAGAAAACTGGCTTTCTTGTTGGGGTAAAATGTTAAGTGTTCTTGTGCTTAGCCTTCAAAATGAGTCCACTCAGAGGCCCTGTCTTATAACTTTGCAGCACTCAAGCCAGTCATATAACTGTCCCAACTCAGTTCTTGGACCACCCAGAAAAATTGGTATGTGCGGGAGGATTGAGTGCAGAGTTGGCTCTTTATGCAGATTAGGTTGTGCTCATTTTCCATTTGTCATAGTTTTATAGGATGATCTGGGAGTATGAGGAGGCCTAAGTCATGGCCACTGCGGTCGCCACAGATGCTACAGGACTTGCCTTTTGGTTGTCAACTCCTAGTTTGTGTTTCCTGAAGGCGAGGCTGTTGTCAGCAAATAATCACATCATACTCTAAAGTCAGAACCATAGGCGGTGGTCGAAAGAATCAGACTGGTTACTTCAGATGAAAAATCTTGGGCTGCAGAATACCCAGGCATAGCTCTGCGGTCTGCTCAGATTAAGTCCCATGATGCCAATGTTCAACGGGCAAGAAACAGATGCCCGATCAAGTCAGCTTAAGTAAGAGGTGGTGCCATAGAAAAAAATGTAACGAGTGGTTTCACAGTGCATCATGAACAGGGATGAGATACAGACCTCACAGGTACTGCCCGGCACTGGAATGAACGAGTGAGGTGCTCGGATTTCTCTGCCTTCCAGAGGCATCAAGTTCCTGTCGTCTCTGCTCCTGATTCTCAAGTGTTCTGTGGTCCTCTCTCTCCTGGCCAGCCTCCTCCACTCACACAGGCTTCCCTCCCACGTAATTTGAGCTCATTCTCATGCACAGCAGCCCTGACTCTCCATTGCCTCTTGGCTCTGTGCTCCCAATTCCTGGTCACTTCTCTCTGTCTCTGTCATTCATATTGTGGGAGGCAAGAGAATCTAATTGGCCCAGCTGGACTTTTCAAGCCATTCCACAGAGATCATGTGAGACTGCTTGTCCAGTCACCTGTGGAAGGGCAAACAGCACGGGTACAGATCAGGGCTTCTTAGGAGGAACACAGGGTGGGTGCGCTCTAAACATTTATAAATAATATGAATTTGTACCATGATACTTAAGTGGCAGGAAATATCATATTGATTTATCCAAAATAAATCAATTCTGGAATTGTTGCCATCCACCAGGATCTGTGGGAAGTCAAATATCAGTCATGAAGAGTTGGGATCACTCCCATTCTTTGGATCAAGTTCAAGAACCCTGAGGGTTTCACCATCCTGGAAGACTGGGGAAGAGCCCCTGGCTTCCAGACCACCGTGGTTACCATGGAGATGCCCCTAGTCTAAGAGCCTGAGTTCCACTCTGAGCCAGTGGCGCTGGTATTCTCCATATCCTCTACTACCAGTGCCCTCGCCTAGTACCGACCCCTAGGGGGCTCCCTCTCCATGAGGAGCCTCTCAGCCTCTATCTTTCCATCCTGGGAAACCTCAGTTCTTTATGGGTCAGTCCCCCCCTTTCTCTCTACACTTGTTATCCTGTCCTTGGGTAATATGGCTTTATGCTTGTTGGGGCTTAGACTTGCAACTATAGGTTCTTCTTTATGTCCCCAGGACATGGCATATCCATAGCGTAAACTCCAGAACAAATCCTTGGCCACTGTTATTCCTTCATGATAAAGTCTGTGTTCTGCCAACCAGAACCCCTCACATCCCACTTCTGCTGTCCTGCCGCACAGCCTCACACACACTGATGAGCAACACACACCATTGATTTGCCATACCCCTCTGCCCGTTAGTGGGTAATCATGATTTGTTTAAACATGACCAGTCTGAATTTCACCTGTTAGAGAAACTCCAGGCTTAAAGACAGCTTTTTTCTGGTCAAGGGCACTCAGGTATTTAGGAGCAAGAACAGAGGATAAAAGGAACAGAGATGGGGAAAAACAAAAAAACTCAGACACAAACAATGTGTTCTTAGCTATAATTCATGACCAATAATAACAATAAATAATCAATAATAATATTAATAATTCAGTATAAAATTAATGAAGAGTTTGGAGAAACTGGAGAGGGAAGAGTATGATAAAAAGGCAGTGTGATAATACGAGGGGCCACCTTGGTGGTGGTCGACAGGGGAGGGCTGCAGGTATTGTGGTCAAGAGTAGTCTCATGAACTTATCCCCGGGGTCACTCCTTCCCTGCAGTCACCTTCCTGAGAAATTGTTCAGCCCCATAATCCAGGGCGTCCAGAGCCTGGTCTAGAACATCTCTTGTGTCCCCTGTTAGAGCATTAGCAGTGACTGATCCCCGATGGTAACAATGCTCAAACTCCTTGCAGCCTCCAGGTTCTGGGGTCTTTGCCCATCGGTGCTGGCAGAGATACGATGTAACAGCAGTTTCACAGAGAAGCAAATCAAATCCCCCAACAACCAACAGGTAGATACATTCTTCAGAAATAGGTGCAAAATACTAGATTGCTGCTGTCATATATATGGGGTAGAATGTGCCTAAGGTTATATTTAGTGCCTCATTTTCTTTTAAAGATGGTGGATTCAATACTATTTTTAAATTTTAAGTACTTTTCAGATTTTAGGTTATTAACCTTTTGTGTAGCTGTTAACAATGCAAAATGAGCAACATGACAGCAGAAGCTTCAGAGAGACGTTATCATGTTATGTTAGAGAACATAAATAGCCTTTACACCGCATTTGTAATTTGGAAAGGGCTTTCATGTAAATTATCTCATGTACCTTTCATTGCAACCCTTTGGAGAAGATGTTATTTTGCTCATTTTACTTTCCCCAACATAAATTTCCATGTATTTTTGAAAGCTTTTAGTGGATTGAAGAAAAATTGCAACTTCCTCTGTCAAAAACCTGTATCTTAAATTGTTCCCCCCAGAAAGTAGAAATTTTTGTGCCTTTTTTGGTGTCTTCACTGTAGATTTAATGTATTCATATTTACCTTTAGAAACTATCAAGAGAACCATTTGACAGTAATGGATGGGTGGAAATTTCCATCATCTAGGCTTTCTGAGTTCTGTTTCTCTGAAGCTCCTTCCCACTTAATTGAAGACAGTGTTCTTCCTCTCGGCATTCTTCCTCTCTGCTCAAATCTACCTCAAACTCCCTGTCCACGTGAGGTCTTTCTGTCTTATCCCATCCAGATATTCCACCCTTTCCTTATGCAGAGTTTCTAACTTCATGTATGTCAAGGTGTGATTACAAAATTTAAGGTGGATTATCTAGATAAATGTGAAAGACAAAGCAAGAATACTTCTAGAAGATAATGTAAGAGAAGATTTTTATGACTTTGAGGCAGGTATAGATTCCTGAAATGTAATACAAAAAGCACTAATTACAAAAGAAAAGTTTAAAACATTGAGGAACATTAAAATTAGTAACATGTATTAAAAAAAACAGTATTAAAGAGGAAAAAAGACAAACCACACAGAGGGGGGGTGATATTTATGATAAGTATAACAAAATGCTTTTATTTAGAATATATAAAGAACTTTTATAAATTATTAAGAAAAAATAACTCACGGAAAAACCTCTTTACAAAGGATAATATCCAGATGGCCAATAATGATGTGAAGAGATAGTCAACCTCATATCAGGAAATGCAAATTATAGCCACAGTAAGATACTGCTGCACTAAAAGTCTGAGCCGACTGTTAAGATGTGGAATAGTGGAAATTTTTATAAGACAACTGGTGGAAGGTTCAATTTGTACACTTTAGAAAGTAAGTGGGCATTATCCACTGAAGTTGAGCATACACATACCCTATGCCTCAACAGTGGGATTCCAATGGAAATGTGTGGCCATGTGCACCAAAATGTATGTGCAAGAATGTTCATAGTAGCCTTGTGCATAGTGGTCCTAAACTGGAAATTCAAGTGTCCACTAGCAGTAGATTGGCCAAGTAAAATTTTGAATATTCATACAGTTAAATATGTACAGTAATGAAAATGAACAAACTTTGGTCCATGAATGTCTCTCTCAAACATCCTGTTGAACCAAAGAATTCTTGACTCTAAAGAGTACACACTATATGATTCTAATAATATATAATTTAAAAATTGGCAATACTAAACCATAATACTTAGGGATGCATATTTAGGTGGTAAAAGTATAACAAAGAAGTGGTGACCGTCACAGTCAGGAGAGTGCTTATCTCGGAAGAGGGAAGGAGGTGGCAAAGGTTGAAAAGGACGCAAGGGATGCTGGCACTTGGGGGTGGAGGAGGGCACCTGGTGTAGTGGAATGAGGGCCATTTGTCTGTTCACTAGCTGGACAAGCCTCAATGAGTTACTTAACCTCTCTGGGATTGGGTAGGATTTCCTGCAGCTTGAAAAATCAAGGGCAGTCTACGGGGTTTTAGTCCAAGGGTGATGCTGAAACCACAACCAAACAGGTGCAACTACATGATCAATCTGAAGGATTCGAAGAGAGTGAGGAATCCAGACCACAGCAGTAGAGCACATTAGGGTGAGAGCTTGCTAAGGGCTGAGACTTAGCTTCCTGTCCCCCTGGATATAAATCTGGGAAAAGGGAAATAATGAGCTATGGGAGGTGTGGCCGTGGGGGAAAGTCGTGTCCATAGTCTGCGTGATGGTTCATTGGAGGACGAGTGCATTCTGTCATTGCTAGTTGAGCAATCCCAGGAAGAGCCTTTGCTGTCATAGCCATCCTGTCTTTTCCCATATGCAGAGGACTCCCCT